TTTTGATATTCGAATAGTTATATCGAATATACTTAGAAAATCATTTGGAAAATCTTAAAATCCATTTAACTTAATTTGTTATATCGAAATATCAAAATGTTTCAACAACTTCGCAATAGGTCCATCTGTAGTGGTGTTTATTGGAAAAACGCTACTATATATATACTTTTTTGGGCTATTTTTTTGCCCTGCACAATAATAGTGGCGTTTTTTTAAAAAACGTCGCAATAGATCTATCTATAGTGGCGTACTGTGCATCCTTTTATCAGATTCTACTTTGTGTTTAGTTAAATTGCTTATGCTTTTAGAGACTCTAAGGTCGTAGCTAGTTCATTATTAATGCCAATTGTGACATGGGGGAGATGAGATCCAAAGATGCTTTTCAAAAGTATTCAAACCACAAAATTATACAAATTTGAATTTATCTATTTTAAATTAATCATTGATATATGATCTATTTATCGATTAATTTAAATCGAATTTACAAAGGTCCATTATGGAGTGACCCTTCCAACTCAGTATGCTCCATACACAAACACTAAGATTCTAACTCTTGACATTGTTTAAGGAATCTAATGTTTCATCTCACTAAACCAACTGATTGTGATTTTGACTTTATTAATAATATAATTTTTATTTATTTATTAATCAATTAATTTAAATCAAATATTATGAATATTAATTATAAAAATAAATTTTAATTCATTTTTATTCATAATATCATAATTCAATTTTTTAAATGTAATAATTCATCTCATTAAATAAATTGATAATTGATGCAGTTCAATCTTAATCATCAATACAAGTAACAACTGGAATTTAGATGAAGAAAGTCTTCTTTATTGGAATTCTTCTAACACTATTTTCCTTAAACGAATCGATTATAATTATCTGTTTGCTTTGACTAGCTTTTGTCAATGAGCTTTTCTTTTATCATTTTTATTGAATTAATTATTTCATAGGATTAATACTAAAATAAGTATTTAAATTATACCTAAATTCTCGAATATTGTCTAAACTATTTTTGACCCATCAAAGTGCTTAACGTTATAAATATTACTCATTTAGGTACTCGGGACGTAAACGATATAAGGTGGTTTAATTTTTTTTTTGTATATTTTTAAAGAAAAACATAAACATCTTGAAATAACCCAAAACTTTGAAAACATTCATTTCAACCCCTACACCCATGTCGGTCGTCGCCTTTTGCCATCGACGAAACTCCACCCGACCTCATCTCCCCCGACGACCAAAACCCCTATGAAATCGTGATCAATCGACAACAAATCGACGTTTTATACCCCGCAAACCCTATGATGAAAATCACGATCTCATGTGATCTCGACGGCAATTACCGCAACGTATGACTAGGAGGATGGCAGAAACTACGTCAATGGCGGTGATCGTGGCCGAAAAGGGCGGAAGTGGGTTAAGGATAAGATTTTAGGGTTTTAGGATTTTTATAATTTAAGAGAAATTATGTTTTTTATAAATATAATAATATATTTTTTAAAATAAATTTTAAAATAAATTTTAAAATAATCAAATTGAGATACGTGTCACTTAACAAGGAAAATTAATGTCGTTGACGGTCCGAGCACCTAAATGGGTAACGTTACACACCTAGATGTGTCAAAAAATAGTTTAGGCATCTACTGTAAAATTTAGTATAGTTTAGACGCTTACTTTTATATTAAGCCTATATCATATTATTTAAATTTATTATATTTATTTTATATTAATTTTTAAATATTTTAATTTCATCCATGTAATACAATTTTTCTTCTAAATTAGTCCTTAAAATTTTAAAATAACATATTTACTTTTAAACTACAACCTCATTCCAAGTTAATCCTTAAATTTTGGAATCTTTCAAATTTCCTAATTCTTCTCAGTCTGAAATATTAATGCTCTTTATTCTAAGAAAATAATAATTAGGGAAAAACCATGGCGCGTTTATTGATTCTGCTTTTCATTTTCTCTCATTTTCCCGGCCTTTCCTTTTCCAACACTCTCAAACGCGACGGTAATGAACTTAGTTATTCTGAGTTTCTACATTAATATTTCTTTCTTTAGTATGTTTTGTTATTGGTTTTGGTTTTGGTTTTGGCAGTTAAAGCATTGAATGAAGTAAAAGCGTCGCTAGGGTGGAGAGTGGTGCACACCTGGGTCGGCGACGATCCTTGTGGCGACGGCAACCTTCCGCCGTGTTCCGGCGTCACCTGCTCCGTTGTCGGCGACTATAGAGTTGTCACTGATCTGTTTTTTTCGGTTTTTCTCTCTCTTTTCGAATTTAGTTAGCTTCAGTTTTTTTTGTTCTTAGTTTGGTTCGTTTAATTGGCAGAGAAGTTCATGCAGTTTTAATCGCCGGGCCATTTCCTGTTGCAGTGACAAATTTGCTCGATCTTACTCGACTGTATTATTAAATCTTTTTCGCAATTTTTTGTTCAGTTAATTAACTGAATGATTTATACTGAAACTTAGTATGATTGTTGAATATGACAGTGATCTGCATAACAACAAGCTAACCGGACCGATTCCGCCACAAATTGGTCGGCTCAAACGTCTTCGAATTCTGTATGTTACCTTATTTTCTCTTTGTTTTAATCAACATCATATGTTCTGCAGCGTCATAGCTAGCCTAGATTCTTTGATTATGGAATAAAGCCGTATTGCTTTGCATCTTCATTTTTCTGGAAATATCTGTCTGACAACTGTGTTCAACACATTTCCTGACATGGGTGCGAGAACATAACCTGCCAAATATATGAAAAACAATAGAAAAATTTAAACATATACCCATATCCAACGTTGACATCAAAGTCCGAGTAACATTCAAATAAAAGTTTTCTTTCTCAGGTTTTCGTAACTTTGGTTTGATTCCGTTTCTTTGATTTTTTTGTTTGTTTTTGGTGTAGTAGTTTGAGTTGAAATAAGCTACAGGGTGTTCTCCCTGCTGAAATTGGTGAACTAAAGAGTCTAACACATTTGTAAGTGAATACAAGCTTTATTAGTTCGAGAGTGGTGAGTGTATGTATCTTAAGTTGTTCTGAAATCACCAAGTGGAACTTGTTTAGGTACCTGAGCTTCAATAATTTGAAAGGGGAAATCCCCAAGGAGCTTGCAACTCTACCGGAGCATCGCTACCTACATCTACATCAAAACCGTTTCTCCTGTTGCCGGCTGAGCTAGGCAGTTTGAAGAAACTTTGGTGCTTTTAAGACTACTATTCTCCATAAAACGTTTAATGTTCTTGATCAATCTTTGCATATAAGGATATCTGTTCTACTTCCATTGTCTATATTGTGCATCGTGTTCTAGCACTACATTGTTGCAGGGATGTCGGGAACAATCGTTGGGTTGGTACTATAAAACAACTCATAAGCATTGATGGTTGCTTTCCAGCACTTCGGAACCTGTAAGATTCATTTCAGTTGAGTGTTAGCGATGACTTTGTTGAGTTTCTGAAACCCTGTACTTAAGAATTGTCTGAATGCACAGCCCTTTTTGTTTGAAACTATGGCCTATAGGTACCTAAACAATAATTACTTAACCGATGGAATTCCAGAACCGCTCGCAAACTTGACCAACTTAGAATCTCGTAAGTACGGTGATTTTAACCTCTGAGGAAATGAAATATAACTCTGATTTTCATTAATTGGTATATTGATTACAGGTACCTATCTTACAACAAACTGTCAGGAGAAATACCATCTGAAGTTGCTCGTCTCCCTCGGTTGACATCGTTGTAAGCTCCTTGCTTTACATTTTTGGTCCTGATTTACATGACACGGATGCCCTGGGGTACGGTTTCATTGTATTAAAACATTGATGTCCATTGGTTTGCTAGATAATAGTGTGATTTGGAAGATTTTTTTATACTAAGTGATATCCTCAGAGTCCTACACAGACTTTTCAGGTGAACTTAAACATTGATGTATATATCTATGTAACAGTATGAACTTGTCTTCGTACATGTTCTTAATATTTGCTCATACCGGAAATGCAGGCATTTAGATCACAATCAATTTGCTGGAAGAATTCCTGAAGCATTCTATAAGCATCCCTTCTTGAAAGAAATGTAAGTTTTTTTTCTTTAACGTTATGATCATGCAAAATTAACTCTTGTAATGTCTGTTATTTGCGAGGTTATTTAACTCTCTTTTCAGGTACATTGAAGGAAATACGTTCCGTGAAGGTGTAAACCCGATCGGTTTGCACGGATTTCTCGAAATTACAGGCTCAGAGTTACTAATTTAGTCAAAACAACAATATATGATTCCTTCCTGTCATGTCATTTCTGTAATATTCATTTTTGGGTCTAAGACTTGGTATCTGATAATCATATTAGGGCCTGATTATTTCAAAGTTGAGTCAGATCGAATTGTAAATAGCAAAAAGCTCTCTGAAGCTCAAAACTGAGATTTACTTCAAAAGATATCAAAATTGTTTATCATTCTGCCCAACAGGCATCAGTTTTATAAGGAAATTTCTCTTTTTAAACCTCTCATTCTCGAGAAAATATTTAGTTTGGTATAAATAAAACAGATTAATGTAATTTCTGGTGCATGAATTTAATTATTGACTTTATCTTGTTAGGATATTAAATTTCTAAATTTTGTTTCACGTACGTAACAGAGCTGATTTGCCCGAGAGGTTAAGGGGGCAGACTTAAGATCTGCTGCATATAAATGCGCTTGAGTTCGATCCTCACAGTCAGCAATGTTATTGTTTGATTTAGTCTAATTATTATTTTAGTCCTCTATTTTGCATAATTTGATATTTGATCTCTATTTTAATTTTGTATAATTTGCTTTTTATATATAATATAACGCTCAGGGTCTGTCCAATTAAAAATTTACATGTCAAGAAAATAAGTAACTTTTTTATTTTAAAAAATCTCTGTCATCATTTTGGCAACAACTAAAGCCAAAGGTGTTGTCAATTTGGATCTAATTAAAATATTATAAAAACAAAGGCACCAAGTTATGCTAAATTAAGCCTGTCGAAGATTAAGCAAGACATGCTACTCTAGCAAACGAAAGGTGTTTATTAGTTTCCATCTCTGTTATGCTACAACCAGGGTCTTTGCTCAATCCTCTCTGCTTCATCAATTCTCTTACCTGATTAACCTGAGCCCATCTCCCATCTGAGGCATACAAGTTAGAAATTAGCACGTAGTAACAGGCCTTATCAGGATGCAGATCGAGCATTTTCTTGATAGCCGCTTCTCCGAGATCGAATCTCGAATGGAGTCCGCATCCATGAAGAAAAGCTCCAAACAAACTATGATGTGGTTTAAAAGGCAATTTTTCAATAAAATCGAAGGCTTCTTCAAGCAGTCCGGCACGGGCCAACATATCAACCATGCATGCATAGTGCTTCACAGAAGGAACAAAGTTGTAGTCTTGGCACATTGAATTAAAACATTTCCATCCTTCCCCGAGCCGCCCCGTATGGCTACATGCAGATAAAATCGTTGTGAAGATTACTTCATTTGGCTCTAAGTTTTCCTTAATCATATCACTGAAAAGTGCAAGAGAACCACTACTTTCCCCTTGAATTCCATAACCACCTATCATTGCACTCCACGTGACAGTGTTTTTCTCTCCTATACTGTCGAACACGACACGGGCGGATTTAGAATCCCCACATTTGGCGTAGAAATTCAAAAGTGCGGTGCCAACATAAACACTAGACGATAGTAGGCCGGCTTTTATAGAGTAAGCATGAAGTGAAGAACCAACTTGAAGAGCACCAAGTGAAGCACAGGCTGACAAGATGCTAACCAGTGTAACAGCATCAGGTGACATCGATTTCGACCTCATTCGATGAAACAGTTTGAGTGCATCATAAGCAAACCCATTTTGTGTGTAACCATAGATGATCGAGTTCCAGGCAATTAAATTTTTATCCGAGACAGTCTCAAATATGTACCTAGCTTCTCTAACCGCTCCACACTTTGCGTACAGGTCCACTAGAGCGTTTACCACAGTTGGATCGGTAACTCCAAGCCGAATCCCCAAAGAATGAACTAACCTTCCAATGCTCAAATTGGTCAACTGTGCACATGCTGAAAGCAAACTTGCAATGGTAACAGCATTGGGGAATATTCCAAACCTTATCTTATCGACAAACAACTTCAAAGCCTTGTCAGGAAATCCGCTCTGAGAATATCCAACAATCATTGCAGTCCACGATACAAGATCGACAGAAGAAAGTTTGTCAAATACAGAACGAGCATCCCGTAGATTACCGCACTTCACATACATGTCTAGAACAGCAGTCACCAAGTAGGAATCAAGTTCGATACCAGTCTTGATAACATATCCATGCACCCATTTCCCCTGATGCAAAGCCCCCAACTTCCCACAAGCGGTCACTAAGCTCACTAACGTGAAATGATTGCTCTCAACCATTTCTTCTCTCATCCTATTAAACAAAACCAATGCTTCTTTAGAGCAATCATTCTGTACATACCCTGCAAGCATCGAAGTCCAAGAAACCACATTTCTATAAAGAATTTCGCCGAAAGCCTTCCGCGAACATTCAATTCGGCTACATTTAGCGTACATATTAACAAGACCAGTTTGAACAAAACTATCAGGATTCCCTAACTTGATGATTTCGCAATGTACTTTCCTCCCTTCATCAATATCCTGCAATTCGCTACACGCCCTTAACACGATCGAAAAGACGACATTATCACACGGTCCAACACTCATTCTCATACGAGCATAAAACCCAATAATCTCCGTATACAAATCGTTCAAAAAGTACCACCTGATCATCACTTTCCAGGAATAAAAATCTGGTTCAGAAATTCGATCGAACACCAACCGGGCACAACCAACATGCCCAAATGTCCCGTAAAGGCTAACCAATTTGGTATCGCACAAAAGATCACCTTTGATCCCACTTACAAAGAACAGGGCGTGGACTTTCTTCAGATAATCGATGTTCTTGCAAAAACCCAGAAGAGCAAAAGACGGGTTCGAAGAAATCGAATGCACTGGAGTAAAAGAATGGTCCGAAGAAGAAAGGTATTCAGAAGGGAGATCAATAGTGTAAGAAAGAGATCTCCATTGAAAGTAAGGCTCCCTCCTGGTAAGAGGACGAGAAACTCGCCGATGAAAGAAAGCGAGAATCTTTGTCACCATTGTTATTTAAAGCTTAAGCTTTGTGGTTAAACGCACCCGCCATTTCTTGTCGTACGGTTTGGTTTCCTCAGTTATGATTCGTTAATTGATTTTGAAGTAATTCCAAGAGGTAGGTTTCTAATAGCATATCAGCTAGGGTTGGATCGAATGTATTTTTTAGCAAGTCTAAGAGGTAGATTTTCTGTCTATATAATGATATTTTATTAAGTCTTTTTGCTATTAAAATTATAAAATTGTTATTAACGATTAATTATGTTTTAAACTCGTCTTTTTTTTGTTAAAAAATTGATGGTTGTCTAAGCTGGACGTTAACATGATAACTGAAATCTTATAGTTGTTTGAGATTTCAGGATCATATTTTATCATATCATAATCAACATGTTAACGTTCAGCTCAAAATGTCGTTAATTTCTTAACGAAAATGGATGAGTTTGGAATATGATGAATAGTCGGGTGACCATTTTGTAACTTTTAATAATCGAGGGTCTCAACAAAGCAACACTCTAATAGTCGAACGACTATTTTATAACTTTTAATAGTTGATGAAATTAATAAAGCAATACCTTATACTTATCTAAATCTTTTTCTATTCATAATTAGGGTAAAATCATAAAACTTATTGGAGGGTTGGAATTGAATTATATATTTCTAGAGTCAAAGTGTAATATTACCATTGCATCAGCTTATACATTTATAAGGGAAAAAAATTTTATTGTAATTTTACCATTGAATTGAAGTTTTACCATTTTAGAAGGGCCATAATCTATTTTAGCAGTGCTAATTTAAAATTTTACAATTTTAAAGGGACTTAAACTACAATTTTTATTATATTAATTTGAATGGAGGATCAATCTGAAAATAAAAAATTTAAGCAAGCCCAAAAATAAAAACTAAAATAAAATGGGGGACTTGACATTGAAAAGTGGAAAGTGATCTGAAAGTGATGAGGCATTTGACTGATGATAATGAGATATATTGTACTACAAATCAACTCAGACTCTGACACACCTTTTCTGCTACATACGAATCCTTAATGTTCTCGTTCTTTCTACACGCGCTCTTCCTCTTCGTGTTTGCCAGTTTCTTATTCTCCTTTTTGTTTTATTCTTAATTAACACAAAATAATAAATGGTAAAGTACACAAATGATCCTTCAACTATAAGGTAAAGTATACAATTGAAATAGATTTGAGATTGTTTTTATCATACTTCAATCATAAGGTTAATATCTAACTCAAACGATTGTCAATTTTTTAACAAAAAAATGATGAATTTGTAATATATAAATACTCAAGTGACTATTTTGTAACTTTTAATAATAAGGGAGATCTACAAAGCAACACCCTATAATAAGAGGATCATTTTATAATTTTTAATAGTTTAGGGACTAAACAAAATAATAATTACATTACTTATGACAAAGTTTTCCCATATTTTTCTCAGCTGTTTTTCGAAATTCTTTCTGGGATATTTACCCTTTGTCGGAAAAACGTTTCGGAAATGTATATATCTGTTGGAGGAGCCGATGCTCGTATTCGTTGAATGCATATCCGAACATGAGTATGGGATATATGACAATGAAAAGATCCTCCAAACACATGAAAGAACCTAAACAAAACTGAATATACCGGCGATCCGACACTCACAACTGAATCCGAGAAACATGGATAAGAGATTAACCAGACCAAACAAACCACAAACACTCGGCGCCGTTCAAGTCACCCTCAATGACACAAGAAAAGCTCTTAGGGTTTCACCATATTGACAAACTGAAGGAATGTCAGTCCTATATGTCTTGGAAGTAATAATGCAACATTACTTATGGATGATGCAAGTAAGCAAGTTGTTCTTTATCACCCCAAGACATAAAATCAAGTATTGCCTAATTTCAGGCTAAGAGGAAATCTCAAAGCAGATGAACAATAATGATTTAGTTTTCTCTATGGCAATCTCGATGAATAAAGCCTCAAATTCTTTTGTTCTTAGGTTAATGCGATAGATGGAGGATTACCCGTCGGACATCGTTGCCTGCGAGGCCGTCTAGTTGTCTTCCCCCATCCAGTTAGGCTTCGATCCTCCAGCCCCACTTCAATGTTATTAAGCTTCTGTGTCAATGGCATGCAAGTTGTGTCAGCTACGGGAGGAGAGGAACTAGTTACCGACCGTCGCCTCCCCCGGCCACACACGGCTCTGGTAGAGTTCCATGAATGACCGGTCGCTCTCATAAGTCCTCCAAATGTCTGAAGATCTTCCGTTACCTCATACCTTGATAGGGAAACAAGACCTGGAAGGATGTCCCTTTGAAAGTCTCTCCGTTGCCTTCCTCGCCTTCTCTGTCCCCTTCGTGCTCGAGTCGTTAACAAAGATGTAGTTCCTGTTTCTTCTACTTTGAAGTTTTCAGGTACCAGAGGCTCAGGCATATAATCCTCTTCCCGGGTTTCTGCTAAGTTCAAAACCATTGATTCAAAGTAATCAATCTCTTCCAAGGAAGATTCATCTCGATCTCTATCTTTACCAGTAGTAAGAGCCTTGAACTTCCTCTCGAGATCTTCCTCAAAAGAGGAAATTGTCTCAACAAACCAATTTAGGGGGTCTGTCATAGTGTTTTCAGATGAATTGCAATCAACATCATCCAAATTACTGTCCCGACAAGATGATGAGATGGCAACTATTGCCTCAGCTGCAATCTTTGCACGTTCATCCTGCACATAGTGATCTTTACTTTGTGTTGACTGCAAAGATGGTTCAGATGCCTTTTCCAGTAATTCTTCTCCATGAATGACTTCTTCAGGCTCAGGAATTAGCGGTGCTTCCAAATCTATCCCTCGAGTTGTCTTCGTACCGGTGCTCGGAACGGAGGATATAAAAGAAGCTTCATCCTTGTCAACACAGGAGTTCAAGTCCCATTGAAGTCGGAAACTTGACGTCTTTTTATTTGTTTCCTTCTCTATCACTGAATTCTCTGCAACAATGTCGTGGTTCATGTCCAGAAGAGTTGCATCACAAGGTAAGTTAATATCAAGTAACCTATTCCTTCCTTTATTTTCTGCTTCAACTTCTGCACGTCGAGCAACAGATGCATGCGGTGCAGTCAAAGAAGTTTCGTTCTTAGAAACAAAAGGCTTTTCGAAAATGGGGATTCCGAGTATCTTTTTGTTGTGCAGATATTCACTAACTTCACTCCTGCTGGTATCAACATTATTGGCGAATGAAACAGACTTCACATCCTGTGTAACATTTTGACTGAAATCATTGCCAGCACTTGTGGCCTCATTCTTAGAATAAGGCATGGCTCGTAGCCACGGTAGCCCTCGAAGATGATCCTCACAATTTCTTCCTCCATCTATTCGAGTACCGCATTGCAAAACTGGCTCATTAGATTCACTGTTTGAAAGCATCGCATTCAAGTTTACACCACTTGTTGACTTCATATCAACGCCAGTCGAACAGCCGTAAGGCTTAGTTGAACCATGAGAAGGGAAGTGCTCAGAGACCCCCTTACTATCATAACTAACCGATGGGAAGCGAATGACAGATTCCTTGGAACCCGATGAGGAATCGTAATAAAAACCATTTTGATTGGGAAATTCACTTTCGAAACTTGGATTAAGTCTAGAATTGCTACACGCCTGCCACTTCTCTCCGAAAATCCCAATGCTCGGGGATGACATCACAGAACTCTTACTCGAAGGACCGGGTGAATTAAAAAATGGGTGAGTTGGAACTGTCATTGACTTCTCGCTTAAGCTACAGGAAGGCTTGTCCCAAGAAGTAACCGAATGAGACCACTGCTTTATGACATCAGAAGAAGCAAATGGATTCAAACTAGGTACATTAGACATGGCAATCGACTCCGGATGACTGTTATTCGAGATTTCACCATTTCTTTTGGGAACTTCTAAACCTCGAAGCATTCTTTCTTTCGAGAGAACAGCCTTGCTTTGATCAGTTACCAAAAATGTTCGAGGATCAGGAGTTTTTTCATAAGGAACCTGTACCTGCTGAGAAGATACAGGCAACTTCTGCTGATGAAAACCTCTAGAAATCGACTTTGAGTTGCTTTCACTATGCCCTGCAAACGGAGATAACAACCACACAAGAACAACCGTAAATACGTGTAACGTTACGAAAGGAAGGGCAATCAAGCAATCAATGATTTTTTAAGTTCAGTAGTTCACAAGTGAGTATTACCTGCTTCAAGCATGTCACAGAAGAATCGTCTCACGGTTCTGTTTTTCTCAACATGTACATTACTTACAGACTTCTCACTTTCGCGAAGAGAATTCACAGAAATGCCTTTCGGCAAACAAGGAAGCTCTTGCTTCGGGTTAGCAGACAGTTCATGGCCTAGAAAGTGCGAAAATGCAGAACCATCAGTTTCTTCGATCTGAGCAGGCTCATTCAAGTCAGCCAAACTATTTTTGCCCCTCGAGCATGAATTGGATCTTGAAGCATCTTCGAGACAATCAGTCTTCCCTGCATGAAATAGTTTCCCACCACTCGCAGGCCCGATTTTCCAATTTCCGTTCAGAAGATAACTTGATGTGCCAGATGCTGTGTCATCTCTGAACTGTTCTGCTTCTTCAGTATCGATGTACTCGTCTGCTGGAAGTTCAAGGTCAAACATTTTACTTCTTACTTTTGTGGGTCTGCCCTCTAACATCTCAGCATCCTTTATGTTACCTCCATTCCGGGACAAGGGATCGGCTCGGGTGCTACTTCCCTTCACTGAACTAAGGGGAGAATAAGTGTCTTCAACACCAGAAACTGACGGTAGACCATAAAGAGAGTTTGCCACCGGAAAGCTAGGGATATGCAATTTGTTAGCCTCTTCGGTTGTAATTTGCGACGCTAACAGGCTTGATGATAACGATGGCTTAATAGGAATTTTATTGTTCTGTAAATCTTTCTTTTTAAATTCATCCATCAACTCCCTTTGTATTCTGTACAAGCGGTGAAGCTCAGACACCTAGATGAATACAAAGAACTTGGATACTTAAATATCTTCGAAACAAAGTCAATTATATA